CCCGCGCGGTGACCTGGCGGTGGCCGAGGACCCTGCGCGCTGAGCCCGCCGTGTCCGGCTGCAGCCCTCCCGCGTTCCGGCCCTGAGCTCAGTCTCGTCCTGGTGCCGCTGGTTCTGCTGCTGCCAGGCTGATTCTGCTCCACCTCATTCTCATTCAATGTCTCCTCATTCTCCGTTAGCAGCGTCTGTCACTCCGGCGGCTCCGTGTCAGTCTGTCCTTTTACAGCTCTCCCTTTGAGTTACCATTGACCTTCACTTCCTCTGTTCTGTTACTTCCAGGCTGTGCATTGTGCAACACCTTTCTTTGAGTCAGAAGCACACCCCATTCTGCAAGTCCTTGAGGTGCTGTAAACCTCAGCCTATACCCCCTGCACTCACAAACACAGAGCCAAGGGCTGTTCCTGAGTCTTCTGTGGGTACTTTGTCCCAGGCCAGGGCATGAGCTCTCTCTGTGAGCAGCTCTTCCTGCGGTTCAGGCTGAGGTTCACAGTCTGGCATTGCAGCCCCTGTGCTGCCCATGGGACACTGGCTCCAGATCAGACAGTGCAGCTGTGCCTGCACACTCCTCCAGCACTGCACACTGCCTGAAATCCTTCCTGGGTGGTTCCATCACAGCGTCCCTAAACATGTGCACCCCCAGGAGCTCTGTGGCTGAGCACCCGTGGATCCCCAGCAGCTTCTCGGGGTCAGGCAGCTTTCTCTTCTCGCCTTGTGGCAAATGTTTCTGGCATGTCTCAGCTGGCTTTGGCTTTGGTTGCCTCAGTGTTCCCTCTAGCTGTGTGCTCACAGTTTGGAGTATTTTGTGAACTCTTGAGAAGCCACACTTGTGGCTGTGGAAGTATAGATTTTTCTTGTTTAGATGATTCTGTGACCTTTGACGAGACCAAACTAACGTTGGGATTAAGCTAAGCCAGGTTTAAATCTAGCTCCTCTTTGACAGAGCTGTGACACCTTCGGAAGCACCTGGCTCTGTCCCTGGTGTGTGGGGAACCAGAGTGATGAGGTTGTCAGTGTAGGTGCCAGAGCTGAAGAAGAAATTGGTTTTGGAGCATTACAAATCATGAGGTGGATTGGAATGTCTCTGTCTGTACGAGATGTCCTTGTGGTCCTCTCCTGGAGAATGCAGGAGCTGCTGGCAAGACTACAGACTGCTGCTCTCCCAAGGGCTGCATTTTCATGTGGGGAATTTGATGTGCTGAGGCTGAGAGCAGGAGAGGGTGAGCAGTCAGGAGCAGCCTGTAACTTAGCTACCCTTGCTCGAGGGGAGTGAGAACAGCCCCTTGGTGGCACAGGGCAGCCAAGTGCCCTTTCACCAGGTGGTTCTGCACAGGTTTCACCCTACAGCTGGGGCTGCAGGGAGCTCTGGAGCAGCCAGGCTTTCTCCAGATGTGTGGCTCTCTGCAGGTGTTAGGGGCAGGTGAGCAAGCAGGTAGTCTGTGATTTTGGTGGGGAGAGGGATGGGAAGGTGGTGAGGCTGTCCAGTGCTGGAATAAGATGTGCCTGGCAGGATGTATCTGCCCAGATGTTGCTTTGATGGATGCAAGTTAAAAATGCAGATCTCTCCTCCTCCTTGGCTGAGTGAAGAGGCGAGTTCAGCTTCCTGCAGGTCCTGGCTGCTCCTGTGGCCCAGATGGTTGTGAGAGGAGCAGAGGGGCTGTGAGGAGGCACTCACCAGCCCTGGCTGTCCCTCCCCAGGCACGCGCAGCGCGGTGCTCAACACCGAGGCGCGCACGGTCGAGGCAGATGTGCTGAGCCGCCGCTGCGTCATGATGCGGCTGCTGGACTTCTCCTACGAGCAGTACCAGAAGGCTCTCCGCCAGTCAGCTGGGGCCGTGGTCATCATCCTGCCTCGCTCCATCTCTTCTGTCCCACAGGACGTTGTGAGGGTAAAAACACACAGCTTCCTTTCTCTTCGGGTGGGAGATGTGCTTGGGGTGCTGCAGGGCTGGAAGCTCCTGTTGTAACAAGTCATGCTCTAGTTGTAAAACTTATCTTTCTCTCTCTGCTTTGGCTGTTAACTTTTTACTGCCTTCTTAACGTTTGTCTCACTTAAATCCCCAGCAATTCATGGAGATTGAGCCAGAAATGCTTGCTATGGAGACTATTGTGCCAGTCTACTTTGCCGTGGAGGATGAGGAGCTGCTGTCTATCTATGAACAAACCCGAGCTGCCTCTGCATCACAGGGCTCAGCCTCAGCTGCAGAAGGTGAGCTCTGAGACGGGGAAAGGCCTGAGGAAGACAGGCCTTGTCCCACCCCTGTGAGCAGTCTGCTGGGTCATCTGCACCACGAGCCAGTGTTCTGTCACCTTCATGTTCTGTGTGTTTTGAGATTCAAGGGGAGAGAAATATGAGAGACTAGACCTGACTATATTAGGGAATAGAGTGGCATGAGGTTCTCAGCCATTTGCAAGTTGAGATAGAAATCAAAACTCGCTTGAAAACAGCAGTAAAGATGTTAAGTGATGACAGTGTGTTGGTAGAAACTGAAGCTTTCTCTGACCACGGCTCAGTTTGGTGCTTTCATGTTTCTCCCTGGAAATAACGTGACTGTCTTTTTGATCTGCTGCTCATGATTAACTTTAGGACTGCTGGAGTAAAGTTTTTGTTTTGGCCAGCTCAAAATATTGGGATTTTAGGTCAGAATGAAAACGCATTGTTACCAAGATTCTGTGTCATTGTACAAAGACAAGTGACAAGTGAGAGGGTGTAAATTAAAGCTGGTCTCTCCAAAGCAAGAGAAATAGAGGGATGAAACTTCCCCAGGTCTATGTTGTGGTTTGTTTGTTCTAGTTCTGCTGCACACAGCAACTGCCAATGGCTTCCAGATGGTGACCAGTGGGGCTCAGAGCAAAGCTATCAATGACTGGCTCATACCCAGTGTGGAGGTGAGTTGTGTATGGGTTCAAACTGGCAGCATTGAGGGGATGCCTTCTTTTACTGGGACTTCATGAGGGCAGGTCAGGGAAGTCTCAGCCAGGTAAGTGTCTGAAGTCCTCAAGTCTGAGACCATGACATGTAGAGATCAGGCTGGCTTTGTGCAGGCACACAGGAGGTGATGTGGAGTGGCACTGCTCTCTTTCCTCTGCAGGGAAGGCTGACAGGGCTGGGTGGAGAAGACCTGCCCACTGTTGTGATAGTTGCCCACTATGACTCTTTTGGAGTGGCTCCAGTGAGTATTTCTTCCTGCAGTTCTCTGTTCCTGTCTGTTTTTCCCATGTGGCCTCTGCCCATGTGTCTTTCCTTGCCCTTAAGGCTGTGGGGCAGTTGTAAGTGGAGCTTGGTGGTGTGCTATCTTGAAGCTGCTCTGATGTGTGAGAATCAGTGCAGGTTTGTCACCCTGTCTCTGTCCCACTCTGTCCTGCAGTGGTTGTCCCACGGTGCTGACTCCAATGGCAGTGGGATCTCAGTGCTGCTGGAACTAGCCAGGCTGTTCTCTCGGCTCTACACCTACAGACGTACCCATGCTGGGTAAGAAACTGCCCTAGTTGTGCTTAATTGTGTAGCTGAGCTATTGCTCCAGACCTGCAGAGTGCCACAAACAGCCCTGTCCTTTGCTCTGCTTTGTTTCCCTCTGAGCACAGCTGCTCTTGATTGCCAAGCTTCTTCCTGTGTTCTTTGCTGTAGTGATCACCAAGCTTGGTGACAAGTGGAGGGAAGGATGTGGGAGGTATATTCCATCCTCAAGCACTTGGAACTCCCTCCTGTCCCTCTGTCCTGCCATTATCTGAGTGTTTGTTAAAGGACAGTTTGCTTGGGGTGTCAGGTGCTAGCAGCTGTGGTTTCACCACACCTCCAAGGCTGAATAAAGGAGTTCTTCTAGTGCAGCACACTAACACTTTTCTGTCTTCTTTGATGGGCAGGTACAACTTGCTGTTCTTTGCATCTGGAGGTGGCAAGTTTAATTATCAAGGAACTAAGCGGTGGCTGGAAGACAATTTGGACCACACAGGTGAGTAAGGGGCTGGAATTCCAACATGTTCTGTGACAGGGTTAACAGGGTTGTGTTACCTGTCTGGTATGTCAGCCCTCCTGTGAGCTTCTCCTTGTGAGCCTTGCTTTTTTGAGGATGGAAATGCCAGCAGAAGGTACAGCAATAAACCCAGGGATTTTTCTGTTCCAGATTCCAGCCTGCTGCAGGACAACGTTGCGTTTGTCCTCTGCCTTGACACGCTGGGCAGAGGCAACAGCCTTCATCTCCATGTCTCAAAGCCTCCCAAGGAGGGCACCTTGCAGCATGCATTTCTGAGAGAACTGGATATGGTAATGAAAAGCATTTTAGGTACTTGGGACTTACTGTGAGGAGCTGCAGCTATCCAAGAGAGGAAGATCTGAAGAAAGGGTGTGCCACTGAAATATTTCATGTATTGGTTATGGTCACTTGATTTGAAGTGCAGACAAATCTTCCGGCACAGTCCCAAATGAAGCAGACAAGATCTGCTGCATTTTCCACTGAACTTCCTTGTGGCTTGCAAAAGCTACCTTGTGGTGACATTAGAACAGTCCTTCTTGACATGAAACCAGCTTTATTTTTGGACATGAAACCAGCTTTTTTTTTTTTTACAAGGAGCCAGAGGGGGACTCTTTGTTAGGAACTGCAGTGATGGGACGGGGGTAGTGGATTCAAACTGAAGGAGGGGAAGTTTAGGTTAGATATTAGCAAAAGTTTTTCCCTGTGAGGGTGGTGAGACACTGGCACAGGTTGCCCAGGGACGTGGTGGTTGCCCTGACCCTGGCAGTGTTCAAATCCAGGCTGGATAAAGCCTTGAACAACCTGCTCTGGTGGGAGGTGTCCCTGCCTAGGGCAGGGGTTTGGGCTGGATCATCTCTAAGCTCCATCTCAACCCCTAAAATTCTCTGATTTCTAATGGCAATAACTGCACCTGGCAGGTGGAAGTGTATTTACCTTCTGGAACACAAAAAAAGAACTCTGGGCAACCAGAGCAGTGCATGCTGGGACTATGTCCTGGGCAGCATGACACCCCTGAATGGCTTGTCCCGTCCCTCAGGTTGTTGCCAGCCAATTCCCAGAGGTGAAGTTTTCCATGGTGCACAAGAAGATAAACCTGGCTGAGGACATGCTGGCGTGGGAGCACGAGCGGTTCGCGATCCGACGCTTGCCAGCGTTCACCATCTCCCACCTGGAGAGCCACAGGGACAGCCTGCGCAACAGCATCATGGACAGGAGGTCAGGGCCCTGGAGGGAGGGCTGTAAACCTAGCCACAAACCCAGAGTGGCCTCACAGCTCGTGGTGTTGGGTGGTCAGGGCATGGGAGAGACCAGCACTGGGAGCTGCTCTGCACTCAGGCCATGCTTGGTGCAGTGACAAAGGGCTGCACCTAGAGGAACCGCATGCCACTGGCAAGTCCATAATCATCCCCTCTTTTGCTTCAGGGCACGAATAGACACTAAAGCACTGACCAGGAATACTAGGATCATTGCTGAGGCTTTGACAAGGGTCATCTACAACCTAACAGACAAGGTAAAAACCTCCCACCATGCCAGAGTTGTCCTGCACAACCAAGTTTGCTGTCACCAACAGCCTGGGTGGTTGTTTCCTTTTTTTTCCCCTTGCAGGGAGCACCTGCAGATCTGCAGATCTTCACAGATCAGATGGTGAGTACAGTGCATTTCTGTAACCTGTAGAGGAAGGAATCCAGAGCATGGGAGGGAGGTCTGGTCTCAGCATGTTGTGTGGTTGACTCCTTTTCTTTGGTGGTGTTTTTCTGTAGCAGATCCAGCAGGAGCAGCTGGAGTCAGTGATGGACTGGCTGAGCAGTCAGCCCAGGGCTGCCCAGCTGATTGATAAAGACAGCACCTTCCTCAACACCTTAGAATATTACATGGGACGCTACCTAAAGGATGTCAAGCAGCATCATGTAAAGGCAGACAAACGGTAAGAAAATACATGAAGAACCAGCCAGGGCATTGCTTCCCCCTCTAACAGATTTTGCCCCTGAGCTGCAACTTTGTTGGTTTCCCCTGTCAGTTTTTGGTTTGTGCTCTCTGTTCTTCCAGAGAAGGCTCATTCCTCACAAGCCCCAGCAGTTCCCTCTCTGAGGGGCTTGGTTTTTGCTGGTTTGGTTCTACAGTTCCCACTCTGGGTGCAGGAAAAGACTGAGGTGCCCTAGACAGCTGTGTTAATTGCAGCAAAGCAGTTTCCATCCTGTCTGATGTGCTTGGGCTGAAGCAGTTTTAGGGAACCCAGGGAGGAGTTCTTGATCTCTGGAGGCAGCTGAACAGCATGTGTTCTGAATCGTGTCCTTAGGCTTCTGAGTGCAGGAAAAGAAAGACCTGGCAACTAAAATCAGCTCAAAACTAGTAGGTCAAGTGCTTGTGCTTACCTGTTACTAGTTTGGTGAAGTCCTTGGGGACAGGTCTGGACTGTCCTCATTGCAATGTCAAGAAGACATTACATTGAATTATTTTCTGTTATCAGAGCCTGAAAAATTTCTTCTCTGCACAGGGACCCTGAGTTTGTTTTCTATGACCAGCTGAAGCAGGTGATGAATGCATACAGGTATGAAATTCCCTTGGGCATGTTGGGCTGTTGTCTCATTCCATGGCTGTAACTGCTGTAGCCATTTCATGAGTTCTTTCTTTGTCACAGAGTCAAGCCAGCAATCTTTGACCTGCTTCTAGCTGTCTGTATTGCAGCCTACCTTGGTGTTGCCTATGTTGCAGTGCAGGTAAGAGAAGAGAAGCACGAGACATGTATTATTTTCCTTATCATAGAATCAACCAGGTTGGAAAAGAGCTCCAAGATCATCAGGTCAAACCCTACCATGGTTACTAGACCATGGCACTAAGTGCCACATCCAGTCTTAGCCTATCCATGTCCCTCTGCAGAACCTTCCTGCCTTCCAGCAGATCGACACCTCCCCAACTTTGTGTCATCTCTAAACTTGCTGATGCTGCACTCAATCCCCTCATCTCAATCATCAACAAAGATATTAAAAAGAACTGCAGCCAACACTTACCTTGCTCCGGTGCCACGGTCATGGTCTGAGTCACCTTGTCAACCCGAGAGAAGGCAAATTTTCTTCCTCTTGTGGTGTGTCTGCCAGGGGTGTGCATCGCCCCTCTTCCGGCAGAGCATCGGGCTGGTCCATTGGTCCATCTCAACCCCTAAATTCTGTGATTCTGGGAATCACTGGGAATCTCTGTGTTTGCCTGGTCATTTTTACATTCCTGAAACTGCTGGCAGCAGTGTTTCTGTAGTGACCAGGATCCTGCTTGTGTTGAAATCTGAAGCTTTCTCCTCCTGTCCAGAAGGAACAGAACTGCATCACAAAAAGTACCATCTTTAACTAGTGATTGCATCCTCACAGTGGTGTGGTACAGGTCTGCACAAACACTTGTGCATCACTTTCTGTGCAACTGGAAGTAACTGGCTGCCTGTCATCTGTCCTGATGCCTCAAGTCCCACTCCATCTCTAGGATGAGAGTGCTAGTGGGTGATTCAAACCAGGCACTGCATGTGCACATTGCTATTGTCTTAAGCTTTCTTTTGAAGTTTTCTGTCAGTTTAGAAGTCATGGTTACTTCTCCTTCTGTTTCCAGCACTTTGGTCTCCTTTACAAGATGATCCAGAGATTATCCCTTAAAACCAAGCAGCAGTGAAGCAACAAGTCATCCCCCCCAGCAGCACTGAGCCATCGGTGAGCCCATCGGGAACCTCTGCCTTCCATTGAGTCCTGCTATTTCTCTTCCTCTGCCTCCTCTTTGCTACTGTGTAGAGGGGAGTAAGGCATAAAGAAAATGAAATTTTAACTCCTGTGCACCTTTTAAGTGCTTTTCTTCACCTTCTTCCCCTGACTCGCACCATGTCTATTTCCCTTTCCGTTCGGTGAGGGAGAGGCTCAGAGTCCTCAGCAGTTCCTGCAGTCTGATTCTGAGCAGCTTCTGTGAACAGGAAGCAAAGTCCAGCACCTTCATGGACACGTGGCATAGAGTCAACTTGGAAACTGAGCCTGCAGAGTGCTGTGTTGCCTCTGCCTGGCAAACAAGGACTCGGAGCTGGTTTTCAAAAGGAAAAAAAAGTGCACATGCAAATTAAAGAGAATGCTGTTAGCATGTTTCATGGCACCTCTTCCTTGAGTTCCCTGCCTGGCTCTAGGTGTGCTGGGCAAGCACTGTCCTGTTTTGTTCAGGCTGCAGAGGAGTCACCCCTGTTGGGAGGTGCCCTGTGAGCAATCTGGACTGTCCCTGCAGGAGGAGGAAGGATCGTTGTGATGGGTTTCTGGCCCTGAGGTTCTTGCCAGGACAGGCTCTCTCCTGTTTCTGGTGGAGGATGCATTTTGCTGTGATTTCTCTGGAGGTTTATGGTCTTTGAGCAGTTCATGGCTGCCACCAGTCTATGCTAAACTGGTTTGGTTTTCGAGGGGCTCTGTAGTCTCAACTGCTGCAGGATCATGTGCTGTGCTGTTCCTGTGCTTACAAAAGTTACATTAACAGCACAAGCACCACAGATCCTGATGAGCTCTGGTCTGTAGTCCCTTTGCTTTTCATTCCTCAGTTGTCACTTCCAGATGGGTTCTGGATTTTGGGATGTTCTCCCATGTTCACGTGCATCTCAGGGTCTCATTTCACATTTTCCAGCCCTGTTATTTCTCAAACACTGTTTCTGGCCTGCAGTATGAACAAGTTTTCCTGAAACCAATGGCAGCAGCCTAAAAGGTGGATAAGGTAAATGAGAAGAGCTCATGAACCTCAAGGGCAGTCAGGGTAGTACAGTGCTGTCTGCCTCACAAGGCTAATTTGTCCCAGAATCCTTCTGGATGCACTTTGGGCATCTCCAGCTGGCTGCCCTGGAGGATAGTTTTTGCTGCAGCTATGAGGTTTTGCTTTTGATCAAGGTGCATGTGCCCTGAAACATCATACACTCAAATCTGAGGCAGTCAAATTTCGACAGAGTGCCCAGTCTGGGAGGAACTCCATTCCCACATTGCTGTTTCCTTTGGTCAGTTAGCAGAGAAGGTTGCAACCAGACCCTGGTACTGCAGCATAGCTGATTCATTCTGCCACCAACACAGCACACAAAGGCAGGAATCAACACGTGGTGTGACAAAATAAAAGTTCTCTACAGCCTTGCAGCAGAGCTCTGTGTAGCTGATTCTTGTCACCCTTAATTTTGCCTGTTTTCCTGTGAGGAGTTTGCCTGGCCTGTGAGGAAGAGCACTGCACTCAGGTGTTCACATGTGGCCAGGCAGCCAAAAAAAAACAATTTCTTTGCCATCTGACTTCACCTGTTGTCCTGCAGCTTGCAAAAACCTGATTTTTGCAGCAAGATTTAAGCACTGGAGCTGTTAATTCCTCCTGTCCACTCCCACCTGCACAGGCACTCCTGGGGCTTGGATCCAAGTGGTTTGGACTAGTTGGTCTCCCAAGTAAGAGAGGTTGGTTGATTGCTGGGAAGTAAGTACTGCTGTGCAATATGAAGCTCACTCGTGTGCTCAGTGCAGAGAATAAAGATCCTGAAGCCAAAATGGATTTAGGTATCCAACTATCTGTAGCTGAGAGAGTCACCACAATCTGTGTAGACAGATCCCCAGAGCTGTGGGGCTTGGTTTGGAGGGTGTTTTGTTTGTTTGTGCTCTCGTGTTCACAGCAGAAGCCCAAAGCCCAAGCTGCTCCTGCACCCTGTGGCCAAGCTGGATGTGACACTGGAGCCCTTCGGTCCCGACTCGACACGACACGATGGGATCACTGCTGGCCCAGCAGAACAGGCCTCTGGTGCTCCCTGTGGCTCCTGCTCACTCCCTGTGCTCTGTTTAGTTTCCATTTGTAACTACTGCATAGCAACTTCAAATATATGATCTGGAATTTTTGCAGCTCAGGAAAAAGATCTGATTTATCTAGCAATGTTAACTCAGTTATTTATCTCTTGTGTGTCATAAAGAACAAATGTATATTGAGGAGAATATTTAAAAGCTAATAGAAGATTCAATGCAGTTGATTTACATATATTTTGACTATAAATGTAATAATATTTAAGTATTTTAACTTTTTTTTTCATTTTCTTATTTGTTTGCCCCATTTTCTCTTGGAAAAATAAACCAAGTGAGTAGGTTTGATGGACAGATTTGTCAGAAGTATGTGCTGATGGAAGCTCAAAACAATGGAATGTCCTTGCATTATTTGGAGGAATAGAGCCCTCTACAACAAGGGAGAAAATCCATGTGTGTTACAGCCTCAGCCATTCTTTATAGCCAGAAGTAAAACAGTAGGACAGAGAACATTTGCAGATCCCAACACCTTGAGGTGAGCAAACCCCTGTTTATCCCAAGGGTTTGTGCTGATTTAAAGCTAAGAAAGTTTCTATGCAAAACAGCTTTGATACTGTGCAAAACTCTGAAGCCAGCACTATTCATGGAGATTGTTGTCCCCTGTCGGTACCCAATGCCTGTGAGAGCACTAAACTATTTCCCCAAAATACAAACATTGTGAGAGATCTGGTCCTGGAGTTTGTCCAAGTCTCACTTGAACTACAGTCATAGTTGTGGAGTGGGAAAGTGACCTCAGCACGACAGGAGGAGGGGAGGGTTGGGGGATGTATGTCCTTTCTGCCTCCTTCTGGTGGCCCAGCCTGGCTCAGCTCACACAGAACGTGGCTGCACAGGTACAGGCAGGGCCCCAGTCTCCCATTCCCATCCTATTCCCTCTCCTCTCATTCCTGGGCTCACCCTGCTCCGCTCTGTGCCTGCCCTGGCAGCAGAGGCCCAGGAAGAAATCTATCCTTCCCTTTGTAGTTGCTCATTGCTTACCCTCAGCCACCTCTGAAACCTCTCCTGCTGCTGCTGCTGGGACTGGCCTGTCTGCAGAACGAGCTGGAGATCACGCCCAAGACTGATGGTGAAGAGTCTTGAACACCTTCAGCCTGTTTGCTTTTCCTGAGGTGCACTGACATATAAAGACAAGGATTCTCATCTGGGGCCTCCTGCTCACCTGGCTGAGGTTTCCTCACTCAGGTGATGCTCATGCCCTGATCAGAGACTCCTTATCTTCAATAAGGAGCTTGTGTAAGCACCTGGAGCTGGAACCAGTGCTGTGCAGTGAGGCTTCAGCACCTCTGGCCTCCAGCAGACCTGAGGTCTGTGCTGGTGAGGGCCATGACCATGGGCTGGTGACTTCTGGCTGCTGTGTGGAGTCCTTCAACTGCTCTTCGTCTGTCACTGACTTTATGTGGCTGACTGAGTAAGATGCTTTGGATACCTCCTGTTGGCATCCTCTGTGTTTCCTCCACACACCATTCTGGATTTTCTAGTGAAGGTTGTTCTACTTTAGCAATGAGTTTATCAGCAGAGGTTGAACATGCACAATACAGGTGTTTGCAGTATGAAAGAGAGAGAGCCATAGAGTTTCAAGGCTGCCACCTCCACTCTGTTTCAGACCCCTTTCTCCCTAGGCTGCTGTTGGATTTCCCTTTCAGGAGGAGAGTGCTCTGTAGTGTTTTTCCTCCTGATATGCTCCCACCAATCCTGCCCTACAGAAGCAGTCAGAGCCTACTCCAGGTCATGGGAAGGGCACACTAGAATGTGAATCATTCAAAGGAACTGGTCATTAGGAGGCCTGTTAAACAAAGGGGAAGTTAAAGAATATCCCTTTCCCCGTGGCAGAGAAAAATGACAAATTATGGGAGGAGTGGAGAGAGGATATTTTATGCCTGAGCTCTAAATGGATCCCACTCTGTGATCAGCTGCAGCAGGCACAGCCTCCCTCAGCAAGACTTTTCCAGACTTTACAACAGCTTGCGTCTTCCATCTATTTTTGGTTTTTCTCTTGCCCTGGTTTCCATAGTATCTGAATGCTTCATGCTTTTAAATATATCTGACACTTACAGCACCTTGGTGAAGTAGGAGGTACAAAGGCCTTTGCTCTTCAGAGGTGCTGGGGCTGGAGCAGCTCGGGGACGTGTGGAAGATGTGGGGTGGAGTGGTGAATTCAAAATGGGCTTTCCTAGGGCTGGATTTGTCACTCCTGGATTAGCCTTTCACTAGGCATAGCAGGAGAAAAAAAAATTCTTTCTTGATAAAACTTCTCCGCTCTGTTTCGAAGCGCTCGGTGCTGTAGCTGCTTGGAGCAGAGGAGGAGCTGAGCACACTTGGTCTCCTCTAACTCTGTGTTCAGCTATTCTCAGGTGTCACACTTCCCTCTCGAGTAGGTGAGAGCATGAGGACACCAGGCTGTGTCCTGGAGCCAGGCTGCTCATCCTGTAAGCTTATTGCTGTGGAATATTCATAGCATAAAATCTCGATACAGTGTTAGAGTCATGAGGTAAAGGGGAGAGAGACAACTCAGAAAAAAGAGAAACAGATGGTGTAGGGATGACCCCAAGATGCTAGAGATACTCAGTCCTTTGATTTTTGTCCCAGGCTAAAGCATGTGACAGAAACAACCACCTCTGTGCATGCTGCATGTTTTGGCAGTGTTTGGGGAGCAGAGGGAGAGGCCAGATCAAATCAGCAGAGCTTAGTATCTTTACTGATGAAAACCAGGTACAAACCCAACTCAATCAGCTCCACTGAATGTTGCATTGTTCTGCAGTTGAGGAGTTGCTTCCCCTCAGCTGGGCAAGAAGGACCAGGTGCCATTGCTTTCTGACTAGTTTGCTTTCAAGCATTGGAAGAAACAGTTTGCAAATAACCCAAACCTTTTGTGCAACAGGCAACAAAGCTCTGGTTTTGGTGGTTTTGTTTGTGGTGGTGTTTTTTTAAATCCTCAAAGAACAGTTGCTCTTGCTCAGAAAGATATCTGGAATCTTTGATGTTCACTTTACGTGGTTATAGACAACTCCTGGTCATAAAATCCACAAGCTTTAAAACTTTTTTAATTTTTGGTTC